GTGGATCGGTTTGACATGTTGTATTCATTCTAGGGTTAGCTGAGCAAATCATCCCAGAAGGTAAGGTCATGTATTCACCATGCTCCTTCAACATCAGCTCCCCCTCATCAGCCATATCCTCTAGTGCTTGGTTGATCTCCTCAAAGCGCAATACTAAAGCAGACATCATGGGCTGGAGGGACAGCTGTGTTTGGGCAGCCTGATCTAGTAGACCCAAAAGAGTTTCATATTTGGAAATGTTTGGGTTCAGAAAGTTATAGGCTGCCTGGTGAGCTCTCAGCATGTGAGGTGGGAAGTCCACCTTTGTCTGTACATGACAGAACTTCCTGTGATTCTCAAAAGACCTTTTCTTGCCTTGCCTTGCCTTTCTTTTTTGCTTTGCTGTCTTTTTAATTCCTTTGGTTTGTTCCACATCGGTGATTATTTCTTGGGGCATCGTGTTTACTTCTGTTTCATCAGTGTCCTGCAGATTTGGTACAGTCTTTGCATCAGAGACCAATGGAAATAATTCAGTCTCTTCGCTATGAAATCCTTCATTCGGAAGTGGAAGTTCATTTTCGGTCACTTCGGTTTTCAAACATGTATTCTCAACTTCTACAGGTCTACAATTATTAACATCCTGTGGTACTTTACCCAGAGAAGCTTTTGGAGATCTTTCTGGCTTTGAAAATAACTTTCCTTTAGATGGAGAACAGCCCATTGTTGCATTCAAAGTGATTTAAGGATTCAAGGAAAAACAAGTCAGGCCAGGAAATAAAATTGTAAATCCAGGAGTCTGGCGGTCTTGAAGGCAAAGTTATCTGGAGTCCTTCAGCTTCGACTTTTGTTGTCTGTCCAGTATGTGCTAGATAACTTCTATTTCCTCAGTCATTTCAGGCATTCTCTCCAAATTTATGCTCAAACAGTGCAGCAAAGATACCTATAACCTGTTGATGAGGTGGCTACTAAGGCTAACGTGGTATGCATAAGACCGTTTGGAAATGCGGATTGGTTCTGCCCTCTCTCTCCCTTAGCCAGCTTGCACAGATGGCTGTGTTAAGTGCATCAATAAAAACACACAGGCCTGTTCACATGTACACACTCAGGCATTTCCATTTAAGACTTTAAGCTCATCAGATTAACCAGAGACAAACTTGTCAGGTGGTGTTTTTAGCCGCACCCACTGGCAAGGTTTGCATGCAAAAGCTCTGTTTACCTGAGACCTTCAATGTCAGGCCACAGGACATTTTAGCAATAGTTGTAGGAAAAAAATTAGATTTAAATAGTTTGCAATACAATGACTTACAAAAATCTATGAAACCATATTCTCTGATTTCATCGTATCTTGAAAAGGTTATATTTATGTATC